GCCTGTGTCCACCACACAGCAGATGTGCACTGGCGCCATGATTGGGTTGGGCCGGTGGTAGGAAAGCAACCCGCCAGCTCCACGAGTAGCACCTAGACAATGGGCGACGGGGAGGTGTGTTGGCCTGGGGCACATGTGCGTCGTCGTTGTGGTTGATGGTGCAGCACGGTACTTTGCGGTATTGGGGTTTGGCGAGAGCTTGGGAGCAAAGTTGACGTTCCTGTTGGCTCATGGGCTGTTTGAGCCATGCGCGGTCGAGTAAGGCAGCTGCAGTAACAACGATCCCCGAGACCCCGATCATGGTGACATTGTATGTATGGCTGCGGTGTCGTGTCCAGGGTTAATTGTTTGGACAACTGGAACCGCGTAGTGTAGACCAGGAAGACTTAGGTTCTGTGTCTTATCTCGTCCCATCAAGCAGGAAGTAGACGGAACAGCCACGGTCAGCGCTAACACTTGACACGATACGTAGACTTGAAGAAACGCAAAAAGTGGACAAAGTCGGTCCCCTGCGATGTGTATGGAGCATGCTGCCCGAGGCCGCGATCCGGTTGGCTGGAGACGTGATGGGCAGCTGGCGCCAGGCATACCGATGACAGACGAGCAACCTCAAAATAGGGTGACTTGACTTTCCTTGGGGATTGTTGAGAGATGCGAGCCTGAAGAACGGCCTGAGAGCCTTGGAGCCTGAGAGGTAAGGTAAGATGAGGTGAGGCAAGCAGCAAGGCGAGCCAGGCCATGCTGCAACCTAGTTCAACCGGTCAATGAGAGCGCTGGGCTGCAGGCGATGTGAATGCGCAAAGTTCGTTACGAAGTATGGGGCGGGCTTGCGTTTGCCGTTAGTCAACATTGGACCAGATGTCGACTGGATCTGACAAGGGGTGTTGTTTGGACCAAAACCTACCTTACATAGGTAGCTGTAGAGGACAGAGGCACTGTGTATTGATGTTTCGAGATGACAATCAACAATGACGAGACCCGGTTGTGCTGCGCTCCGGAATCCACTGGCACAGTCGAGACTCGTGGCAACTTGGTAGGACCTGCTTGCGCCTGGTTGATTTGTGGGCGGCCAGGCCGGTATTGCGCCATGGCTCAGCGGGATGATGGGACTCGACGGTTGAAGGTTGCGGTGGCTTGACATGAGGCAGTTGAGTTAGCGAAACGATTTCCAACCGGCCACCTCTTTTCGTGATGGCTTTGATGAATAGCGGGAGGCACCAGGTGGCTAGCGGATGTCGTTTTCACATGAGATGGATTTGATGGTGCAACATGCCCAGAAGCACATGTTTGCCGTGTTGGTGAAGAGTGTGAGATACGATAAGGGTAGCGCGGCGACTATCAAGGTGGACTGGGCGGGCTGCTGGAGAGCGAGACAACAGATCGATGGATGGATGCGTCCCTGAGTCCACCCGTCGATACAGTGGTCGAGTGGGCAAAAGCGTGCGTAGCGTGCCTGGGGTGAGGAAAGTACCGGTACCTTGTTTTGGCTTGGAGATGCATTGAAACACCGCGTACCGTGAATCCGAAAGTCGGCAGGCAGGCGGGAGCCGGTAGCAGCGCAGTAGCAGCGGACACCTTTATGCGTCAGGGCGTTCTGGCGTGCGTCTGGAAGGGCGGATGGAATGGAATGGGTGGACTGGACTGCTGCATCGTGCCCATTCGTCCGTTTCGTCGGTGAGAGCTGCAGAGTTACCTGGAAGTCAGTAGAGTACGTAGCAGGTGGAGAGAGTTCCATCTGCAAAGGCTGATACAGGGGAGAAGAGGGTCGCTGGAGTCATTCAAAGTGGTGCGACTGCGGCAGCAACGTGAAAGAAAAGGTGACAGGCCTGAGGCTCGGGGGTGAAGGCAAAGTGTGTGCATGGAGATGGATATGGAGATGGAGAAGGGAGAGATGGGGTCCGAAGACCGGGGTGTCTGTCGCGTCGACGACGTTATGATGAAATGTGCCTCCCTCAGAACCAGAAGGGACGAGCGGCCAGGCGAGAGGTGTTCCAGCCGCGAAAGTGTATCGCCGACGGTGCTACTGTGCTGAGCCTGCAGGCACCTCACAGTACGGTACAATGGAGGAAACTAAGTACCTCTGTACCTCCCCAGATGCTGCACGGGGGAAGCTACGCCTGACCTCGGGAACCCAGTGACATCCAGCGACACCCACGCGAGTGAGCGCGAAGGGTGAGGGTTGGTTTGACATTGATGAGGAGAGAGGCTTGGACGACGGCATGGCTTCGAGGCGTTGCTATTGCTGCATAAGGTACTGCGCATAGAGCTCGAGGGAGGTATTCCATGGCAACGTGAGATGAGCAATAACAACACCAGAGAGAACTGACTGACGCTCGGCTCGGCTCAGCTTGGCCCAGCCCAGGGAGGGACCTACCCTTTTCTCTCTTGATCGTCAAGGCCGTGGATACATACAAACGGTGTGGAGAGTTCCTTGAAGGTGCAGGCAGAGCAGAGTGCAGACCAAGTGCCAGAAAATAGAGGTGCCAGGCCAGATGCGCTGTCGGCGCTTTCCCAAACACGGAAGTTAGGCGAGTTCGGGGAGTGGACCTGCCTGGCAATCTGGATGCAAACACCGAAACGGCTCCCGAGATCTGTCACTGGTTTGACAACAGCAAGAGGACGGTAAAAAGGTACATGCCGGGGGCCCAAAAAGGAGATGGGGATATGGATAGAGTCGACAGAAAGAGAGAGGGAGAGAAAGAGAGAGAGAGAGAGAAGACGGCAAGATGAAGAGACACGGACAGAGACAGACACCTGCTGGGGCAACAGGACAGGGCAACTGGGCTGGGCAGGTTGTTGCGAGTGTCTTATCGCGATACATGAGCCTTATCGCGCCATGATGGCATTTGAGTGCTGCAGCAGCCAATACCCCTACTACAGTGTACGGATATGCACCACCGCGTAAGGTGCTGTGCGACCGAGACCGGACTTGTACAGGCTAGGTATCCCTCTCCAATCACATCCCCGCTCCACGGACAGAAAGGCACCAGAGAGACCCCTGATCAGTGACCACGAGGATACGAGCGGGGCGGCCGCGATGCACCTGCATTGGCTGTTCCAGCGTCCGGAGCGGCAACACTGAGGCACAAAGATACGTACCTTGCCCAGCATGCCCTGGGTGTGGTACCTTTTTCAAGTATACTTCTGAGCAAGTACTTTACAAGCCGGGAAGTACATGGGCTGCTTCTCCACATCAACCGCTGCGCAGCGCATCACGAGCCCCGAACCCAAGGAACAGACGCCCAGGATAGGTCACTGTCGTCGCTTGTTGGATGTGGTCACTGGACGAATCCCTCTCTCGCAATGCTTTGTGTTGTTCGCACACCTCACCTTGGCCGAATCACATCACCCTCGACGTGCTGTTGCTGCTACTGCTGCCGCTTCCCCTTCTTTTGAACAATACACTCACCACCTGAACCCCCAAAAAGGCACACCGGCACAGTTCAGACTTGCGGCAGCTGGCCCATTTCCATCTGTAAACCCAGAATCCAAGCATCTAGATCGACTCACACAGCTTGCTTCTTCGTCGTCGCCTGCTGTCCCACCCGCCGGCATCACATCGCATATCGCATATCGCATATCGCATCCGCTATCCACATCCACCCACCGCACTGTTTGTGTCTCTGTCTGTCTGTCTATCTGTTCGTGTTCGATAGACCGCCCGACAAACACACAGAGTCCATCATATCAGCGGCACCACCACAACGACAGGCGACCGCAGCGACCGCATCTCGCGCTACCGTGCCGCTAAGTTAGATAGGCAGAGAGGTGCTACCCTTTATCGCATCGCATCAATCACACCCACTTCCACCTCCACGGGCCACACGCCGTGTCGTGAGGTGCACAAGGTGATCCACTCTGGGCTCGCTATCTAATCGGCCTGATCCACTTCCACCTGGCTCCCCATCCCATCCATCCTCTCCATCCTCGTCACTTGTCTCTGTTCCTGCTGCACCTGTCACTCTCCTCGGCGCGTCCCTTCTTCTACATCCTCTGCCCATCTCCTCGTCCGCCTCTCCCTCTCTCTTCCTCTATCTCGCCTTCAACTTCGACCTCGACCATTTTCTCTCCCCCCCAACCGGCCCTACCGCGCGCCCTTCCACACCCACGAAATCCCTCGACTTCTCTGCCCTATCTTCTCTTCTTGGCTTGCCCTCGTGCGCCTACATCACCGATTTCCCGGACCCCGTTTGTACCGCTGCCGTTTGTTCTCCCGTCTTCACTACACCACTCGCCTCTCCATCAGGGTACGAACAAAGTACAAACCACTGCGTCCTTGATAGCTCCGAGTCATTAGCTTGACCTTGGACTTTGCCTGACTCTTACTCCGAAAAGGTACACTCTTCCTCCAAACTCTCCAATACCTTGCTTTGAGAGCCTCAAACCGTTGGGTACTTCCCATGGGCCAAGCTAGCCTCCTGTTCTAACGCTCACCGTCCATTCGTATTAGTCACAACAGGACTCCTCGAGGCGTCTCCCACCTTCTCCCACCTCGCCCCCGATCGCCTCTCTACATAACCTCATCCTCAAAGCCACTCGTCGGCCCATCTTTCACCGTGTTCGACTTGCATCCCGTCCTCCACCTGTCGACCGTGTTGTCGAGACGATACCGACGCCTCCCTGCACTCTCCGTACACGGACGCCACGACGGTCCCCGCTTCTACCCTTCGAGCGCTTCCTCGACTCTGCATCAATCTGGTGTGCGTGCGCTCCCGACCTATCGGATAGCTGCCGCCTTGTCTACCGTCCCTGCCTACCTTACCGAAGCAACACATTCAGGGTTCTCGCCGCTGCTCGAAGCCCTGCCTACTTCTTTTGACTTGCCTTCTACACCCATTTCATCATCACAGCTCCATCTCCAGCATTCTCATTTCCACGACGTTGTATGTGTACATGACGACGCCACCCGCCGCCGACGTCTTTCGCATAGCATAGGCCCCTCGGCCTGAACACACTCCGCCCGAAGTCGCCCCTGTTCTTGACAACTTCAACAGGTCAAAATGGCGGAGAGACTCCCAACTTCGTCCTCGTCAGGACGCAGGCGACGCGAAGCCGATGCCTCTATTGGAGATTTCGTTATTGGAGGAGAAATCGGCAAGGGCAGCTTTGCCCAGGTATACAGTGGTTACCACAAGGTTCGTGAGCTCCCCCGCCTGTTGTCGAGGCTTCTAATAGCGCTTGTTTCTGTTGGTGCTGGTCGTTTCAATCCCCGGTGACTCATAAGTCGTCGATCTTGATGAGCTGACTATAATCCCTTGACAGAGCTCCAAAGCTACTGTAGCGATCAAGTCGGTCGAAACCGGACGCCTGAACAACAAGCTCAGAGAGAACCTATATGGCGAGATTCAGATCCTCAAGACTCTGCGCCATCCTCATATCGTCGCTCTCCACGATTGTGTCGAGTCGGCAACACACATCAACCTGGTCATGGAATACTGTGAGCTTGGCGACCTGTCGCTCTTTATCAAGAAGAGGGATAAGCTAAGCACAAATCCTGCAACCCATGACATGGCGAGAAAGTATCCCGTCACACCAAACTCAGGTCTGCATGAAGTCGTTACTCGCCACTTCTTGCAACAACTGGGCAGCGCCCTAAAGTTCCTGCGAGAGAGAAATTACGTCCATCGAGACGTCAAGCCTCAGAACTTGCTTCTCTTGCCATCACCCAGGTTCAGAGAAGAACACTCGCGTCCAATCTTGACTGCTAGTCAGGACTCATTGATTCCTAATGCCGGCTTGGCCTCTCTGCCAATGCTGAAGCTCGCAGACTTCGGTTTCGCTCGTGTTTTGCCATCTACTTCGCTTGCGGATACTCTCTGCGGTTCGCCACTGTACATGGCACCTGAAATTCTTCGTTACGAGCGATACGACGCCAAGGCCGATCTTTGGTCTGTTGGTACGGTGTTGTACGAGATGATCACCGGACGTCCTCCTTTCCGTGCTAGGAACCACGTGGAGTTGCTCCGGAAGATTGAAAGCGCCGAGGATCGGGTTAAGTACCCGAAAGACCTTGTCGTCAGCAAGGAACTCGTCAAGCTCATCAGCAAACTCCTGACAAGGGCACCTGTTGAACGCATGAGATTCGAAGATTTCTTCAATGACCCGATCGTAGTCGGTCCCATTCCCGGAGTGGTTGAGGACGACGTTCCGAAGCCGGAGGTTAAACCTTCCAGAGACCTTCGATCCCTCGGCAGATCCGACTCGACATCTTCGCTGTCTCGCCGCTTATCCTTGCGCCGTCAGACCGAGAATGAAACTGTACGTGAAGAGGTTGAATCGCCAAGGTCGCCCCGTGAGAAACCCCTGAGATCTCCTAGGTTGTCAGGTCCAATTGAAGGTCGCGCTCAGCAACCTGCCGATGCGACAGCTCGTGTAAGCCAGTCACCGGGACAGGAAACTGGGGATGGACTTGGAATTCGACGTCCCGCTATGCCGCAACCCTCCACCTCAGCACCTGCTCGTCCACACAGGCTGTCCAACGCAGCCATCAACCGGCCTGCCGTCCGCGCATCTGCGTCGCCTCCGACCTCTTATCTCAATGAGAGAAAACTCCGTCCGGTGACGGAAAGAAGTATGACAGAGCAAGAAAAGGCGGCTCAGGATGTTGCCTTTGAAAGAGACTACGTTGTCGTTGAGAAGAAGCACGTGGAGGTGAACGCCTTTGCCGATGAGATGGCGGCTAACCCACGCTTGACTTCCCTCTCACCCAAGACCGGGCAGATGATTCGTCGTGCCACACAACAGGGTCCTCCGACTTCGACCACCGGCGCAGGCCGCGTACAGCCTTCAAATGCCGTGCAGATCGCCTCAGGCAAGGGACGCCACGATCGTCGTGACTCTTACGACAGCAAGAACTTCTCGGCAAGCCCCACGACTCAAGGATTCATTGCCAAGGCGATTTCGGATGCCAGCGTTCGTCTGTTCGGCTTCAAGGTCCCACAACACGTTCTGGGCGGCAAGGGTGCCTCTCCGCCTCTCTACAGTCCATTCCCCGCGTACCCGACACCATCAGGTCCCGTTGGGCTAATCGGCGACGGCAAGCAGAGCGCACCGGTTGATGAAGATGCACGAGCCGTGAAATTGATTCAAGATTTCGCCCATCGCAGTGACTGCGTCTATGGATTTGCCGAAGTGAAGTACAAGCAGCTTTTCCCACTCGCTCCGTCAATGGATCACGGCCTTGGTGGCGCGCCTGCCGACCAGCTGACGGGAGAGGAGGACGGCCTCACCATTGAGGCCGAAGTACTCCTCTCGGAAGAGGCCTTGGTTCTCTATGTCAAAGCTTTGACACTGCTTGCCAGGGCCATGGACGTTGCAAGTTTCTGGTGGTCGCGAAAGACCCGCGGTGACTCCACGGGCGTTGCTGCCGCTGAGGTTTCCAAGGAGAGCCTTGCACAACGCATCAACTCTACCGTACAATGGGTCCGGGGCCGCTTTAACGAAGTCTTGGAGAAGACGGAGGTCGTCCGGCTCAAGCTTATTGCCGTCCAGCAGAAGCTCCCCGATGATCACCCAAGCCACCCCAGCAACCACGGGGGAGAGTCTGCTTCCTCGACCGCGTCCGGCACGAGGGATGTCTACCTCACACCTGGTATCAGCGCGGAGAAGCTCATGTATGACCGAGCCTTGGAGATGAGTCGTACGGCAGCCATCGATGAGATTACAAACGAGAACCTTGAAGGCTGCGTTACCTACTACGTCACTGCCATCCGTATGCTTGAGGCTGTCCTAGACAACGATGAGGACACGGTCAAGCGAAGGTACTCCGCTTCGAGCAAGGAGCTTGCCCGAGAGGAGATATCTAGCGATCTGGACAGTGACGACCAACAGGTTGTCAATCGAAGTAAGTCTCTTTGCCATTCTTCCTGCGACCCATCAGCAAGCTAACAGCCCGCAGTGATTCAAATGATTACTGGGCGCCTTTCGACCGTCCGCAAAAAGATGGCGATGATTGCCGAGGCATCGCGATCTCAACAGGCTATGCAGCTTCCAGTGCGGAAGCGAAGTGGCGATGTTACGCCGCGCAGCGTGCCTTCATATGCTTCTTAAAGGGAAGCTGACACCAATCGGAGCATGGCTTACATTGACTGGAACGACTTTTTACACAACACATTCTGCCTCGCGGCCACGAACTTTTACTTCTGCTTTACATGGGCCTGGAGGATTCCTGTGACACGAATCTCGGACGGCAAGAGAATTCGGACAGGCGAACGGCTCAGACTTTTCATGCATCGGCGTTGGGGAAGGCAAACCGGCATATCATCGGTTCCAACCATTTCTTTTTCATCAAGGCCTGTTTTTTTATTTTCCTATTATCTCCATTGGCGTTGGGAATCTGCAAACTGCGAGGGGTTCTTCCGCAGCCATGGAACAGCCACGGTAGTTCCTTTTTTGGCGTCCGCACGAAGGCAGGGAAGGGAAAACACAGTACCTTGAACCGGCATAGCAGCTTGGCTTTCATTGTGTTCTTCTCGTCACGACAGGATGGCCACGGAAGGACGATGACAGGGTTACGGCCGTCCTGCTGAGAGGCGGTGGTACGTTGGACACTAACGGATGAATGTTGCATACCCTTTGAGGTTTTGCTCGCAGACACTGGATCTGCTTTCCTTTCTAGTTGTGTCAAAAATGAGATAACATTTCAGCCGCTTTCTCTTGGTCCGTGATGAATCTTGTGTAAACTCATCAGTTCATCATTTGTCGCGTCTGGCAGGTGAGTGGCACTATCTTAACCATCATCCAAAGAAAGTCGACTAACACCGAAAAATCAGTTCATTGACCAAGGTAGGGTTGCGCTATGCCTAGGCCCCGCAAAACAGGGATCCCAGGTACATCGGAATGTCTGCCGGCGTCGGAGGTGAGCGAAAGTGGAACTCATCACCCTACAGCCGACCTCATGCGCCCCGGATAACGCAGACAAGTTCATGTCTTGCAGAATGTTTCACTAGTACCTATTTGCGGCTCTTTAGCTTCCGTGTTGTGCCACCTGTAGACAAATCCAAGGTCGCAGAGTCAAAAGGTATCGAAGCCTCAAGATGCCGGTTGGGCAGCGGAGGTCCAACGTCCGGCGGAGCAACGTAACTGCCTGTCATCGGTGCAAGTCTCGCAAGCAGCGGTGCGACCAGAACATCCCGGCGTGCTCCAATTGCGAGCGCGCCGGCGTGGAGTGTGTGGGCACCGACATTGACGGCCGAGTGGCGCCCAGAAGGTCGGCCCTTTTTCCCTTCCAGCGCACACCTCCGGAAACACCATTCCGTTGCCATGTAGCTAACCAGACCGGCGCATCAGCTACATCAAGAGCTTGGAGGATCGCATCGCGCAGCTGGAGACGCAGTTGATGTCACACGGTCTCCGGGACCAGAGTCATGATACGCCCATCTCTGTAGACTTCCCGGCGGTCGTCACTCATGGCGTGTCCAACTCGCCTTCTTCGCAAGACCACAATAGCCAGGCGGACGAGGACCTCGTCGGTCAGATTGTTCTCGACTCACTCCGGGCAGACCACTTCTCCAGTGCAATAGCAAACCACAATGGCCTCTCGCTGCTCAACTCTTTGCTGTCGGGCCCCATCACCAAAGTCTCGCGGCCCGGGCTCAGGTCAGACCACCGCACCCTCTTCGAGGATCTGCCGTACGAGACGCGGATAGACATGCCGCGGGGCGAGGCCGCCAGCCGGCTCATAGACACATACTTTGAGCACTGTGACTTCTTCTCCCCCATCCTCCCGTCAAAGGAGCATCTGGCCGCAATGACGGAGCCCCTGTACGACGCTGCTGCGAACAACCTACCTCCCGGTAGCAGTCGCTCGCTCTCAAAGGCGAAGTTCAGGGCGTCCATGATCTTCGCCACGGCGATCCTCCTCATCAACAGGACGGACCCGTCGGTGCCCGTGGAGAGATCCCACGTTTACTTCGCCGCCGCGATGCACATGCTCTCCCAGGACCCGGCCGCCGTCTGCACCGGCGACCTCGACCACCTCGTCGACCTGCTCCTCATCGTGCAGTACTGCTGCTTCAGCCCGAACCTCACCGCCGCGTGGCACTTCCTCGGCCTCGCGACCCGCCTCGCCGTCGAGCTGGGCCTCCACAACGAACGGCAGCAACGACAACACAGCGCTGCTGTCGCTGTCGTCGCTCTCGACCCGGCCCTGGTCGAGGAGCGGCGCTGGGTCTTCTGGGCGACGTACACCTTCGAGCGCAACCTCTGCGTCATATTAGGTCGGCCATTCTCGATCCCGGACGAGGCCATCGAGACCCCGCTGCCCCCGGAGCCCCTCGACAACCCGCAGCGCGCGCAAGCGCTGCACCTGATCAAGGCGCGGCGCTTCGAGTCCGAGATCTACGCGACGCTGCGGCAGCGGCAGCCCGCCGGCGCGCCACTGGACAAGCCCGCCTGGCGCGCAAGCATCACTGCCCGGCTGCGCGACTGGTTCGCCTCTGTGCCCCCGCTAGACTGCGCGAGCGGCCGCAGCCAGCTGATGCCGCAGCAGATCTTTAGCGGCTTCTTCCACAACGCGTTCGTAAACATATACTACCCGTCGCAGCACTTCCCGGACCTGAGCGCGGCGGACGTAGGCGTGCTGGCGCGGCATGCGGCGGAGAGCGTCGCGTGCTACAAGAAGTCGTTCCGGTCGCGGGAGCTGCGATTTTACTGGCGGTGTATTCATAGCCTGTTCAAGGCGGGCGTGGCGCTGGTGTACTGCATCCGCGTGGGGGCGACGCTCCAGACGCAGCAGCAGCAGGGGGAGGAGGAGATCAGTATGCCGAATTTGGTGGATACGGTTAATGACTGCTCGTCCATCATCTGGGCCATGGTCGAGCGGTACCCGCAGGGCCAGGCGTACCGGGACGTGTTTGAGAGTCTGGTCAACTCGGTTTTGGGCAAGGACGGCGTCGACCAGGTGCAGCAGCAGCAGCCGTCTTCGGTTCGGCAGCAGCCGGCGAGTGCCGGTGATGAGCAAGAGCATTCGATCTTTGACTCGTTGTTTGCGGCGGCTTCGGAGGATACGGACCTGCCGTTTACCGCGATCGAGGCGCTGTCTTGGGGATTTGCGCAGCCGTCTCCCGCAGGGTGAGGTTGATTGGTTTTTGACGGCCCCTTATCCCCTGGTTCGGTGGTTTGCTGCCAGTCCCAAGATAATCAAGACATCAATAGCGCTGTAAGAAGTCGCTTTAACCGAGAGCCAAGGATGTTGCTGTCGGCAACGTCGAAACACCAACAACCTTGAGTTTAGAGTTGAGAACAGCAAAGTCGTTTTACACGAGACGTCAATCAGGAGTCAGGCCAGTGTTCAACGGCAGGGTGTCGGTGTTTGGATTATGAGAGCACACTACTAGCATGTCTCGAACACCTCATCTTCAAGGTCTTCTCTCTTTAATTTCACCCTCTTCGGCAGAAGTTTCTTCCAGTACACCTCCTCTTCCTCCACTTCGTCCTCAACCTCACAGGGCTTCGGCAACGCCCACCCCTTCAAATCCGCCTCTCCAACAACCACCCCGTAAACATCCCTCTGCCTCCGGCGTTTCGCCTCCGCCATCAACTCGCCAGCTACCTTCACCGCATCCACCTCTTCGACGCCTCCCGTCTCTGCCGCAATCCAATCGCCCGCCTGCGCCCCCGAGATCTCGTCCCTGCCCCAGTCCGCATCCTCGCGCAGCCTCCGCACCAGGCACACGCCGCCGACGCGCCTGCAGCGGCCGCACGGCCCGGACGGCTTGAGTTTCTGCTCGACGGTGAAGAACTCGCACCGAACGCCGGCGAGGGCGCACTGCAGGCACCTCCCCGGCGTACACTCGCGGTAGACTACTGGCGGTGGGGGTGCGCAAGAGGAGGGAGAGGAGGGGGAAAGCAGGGGGAGGCCGTTGCGGTATTGGAGTTTTGGGCGGATGGGCGGTAGCTTGGACTTGCGCTGGGCTTCGTCGCTAGTGTTGGGTTGGGAGGTTTTCATGATGTTGGTCAGCATGTGGGACAAACTTGGATTATGTTAGATTCGCGCGAGTTGAATCAACCGGAAGAGCCGTTCCTCAAAACTTTTAAAAGGTTGCGAGGAACATAGGATATCGACTTTGCTGACGGAGTTGCTATCAGGCCCCAGCAGGTATACTCAAACACAGGTTGTAAGTCAGGTCAGATCCTATGTGTTTTGATGACCGCCGAACAACTCCAATTTCCTTTAAGCAAACAAAGAGAGAACAGTAATAATGAAATCCCTAGACCAATGGGTCCTTATCCTACATCAGCCTCCATTGTTCAAAGCTGGTCGTTGACATGATCGGCTTTGATATGCTCGGCATTCTCGTGTGGTTTTCCGGCCCCTGGATCGAAACTAAGAACCCAAGTTTACAAAGAAGCCGATAACATGGGTGCCAAAAAAAACACCGCAGAAGAGGACGTGATGGCTTCAACTTGAGGAGAACTTGAATTTCCTCTAGGTTAAGCCCAAACACTCCCTAGATTGTATTGTTCAGACCACGTCATTTCCAGATCCAATAATATCACACATTTCATGTTGACTCAGAATGCATGCCTTTACTAGCAGATGCAGCTATTGCGCTATCATCGCGATGCCAGCCCGAGTGTGAAAATGCCATGCCGTACGAGCACCAATTACTGTCATCATAATGAAGCGTTGCATTGGGGGGCGAAGACATAGAGCAGCTTCAACTAGGCCCCTTGCTTCGAGACCAGGATCAATTCGGTAATCTTCCCCAACTTCCTCAAGGTCATGATGTGTAGGCTTTTTGATTTACCGTGGAGAATTTGCTTGAGAGTTGCTGCCTGCGTGCACAGGGAGTCGCAGTGAGACAACTGCAGATCGCTTGTTGGGGTCTGAAAGCTTGTTCTGTTGCTGCCTTGCAGATCATCGGCTTGATTGAGCGAGCATATTACATCGGAACTCGGGAGCGATGCAGGTTAGAATATTTCGATTGAAGATGAATGCACGTTTAGAAGCAAATAGTTGGAAGAACTCAATGTGGTCACATAATTAGTGTTATGTGGTACTACTGCTGCAGTGGTTTATTGTAATGCGGGCTGGGCAATGTCACTGG